AAAATTTTACATCCTTGTTTTTATTGTGGTTTTAAGGTAGGTCTCGAGAATCAAGATATTAAATGTCACAACTTAACGAAGTAAAAATGTGGCGTCTAAAGAATAAAGATATCAAATTACAACAAAATTGTATATTAACGTTAGATAAGCCGTTTAATATCTATGTTACTTTGATTGCTTTTTAGAATGAGGCAGAGAGAAATTAAACTTAATATTTTCATTCGAACTTTTCATAAACGATATTTTTTTGTTTGTTTTTTTTTGTGTGTTTTATCGTCTAGATAGCTTCAGACACCAACGGTTGCTTGATTAGAACTACCAACTTTCTGTTTCAAAGAACAAAAGGGAATTATTACTCCCCTGACATATTTGACCTATTATACCAAAGAGCAAGATGTTCGATGCCATCGTTTTCTAACTATACAGTCATTGAGCGATTTAGGTAGGAACACATAATTATAAACACTGAAATGCTACAACTCAATACTAGAACAAATATTGTTCTTTTTGAGATTTTTTTTCAGTTTATACTAGGTATTTCAACAAAAAATCAAAATATGCTCCATACCACATGCTACACAGCTTCCCTCCCCTACAGCCTCGGCTGTCTGACCAAACGTCACACATGGCACGAAATAAGTTATTATGCATGTGCCAAAATTATCAAAACATCCAAACAGAGAGTGCGACCATTGCCCGACCTGAAAGAGAAAAATAAAATCAAGAACTTTTCATTCATGCTTAAATTAAGTCATGTAGATAGTATATAAGCAGTTTGAATAAGAAATTCGTTTTACTGTCGAATATTGGTTGCATATGTCTGCGTCGCCGTTAATAAACAGTTATTTCATAATTTTGGTATAATGTATGGTTTTAGCAGAGTCGCTTCTTTGTCGGGGTGCCAAAGAAGCGGTCGACTCTGGTTCTTTTTTTACACGCCTAGTGTAGTGCACCCGAACATGAGACCTCGGTTTTTAAAGTTCTATCCGAAATACTGTTAAATACTTGTATTGTTTTTGGTGGACGCGGGATCGAATTTGTGACCCCCTAATAACAAGTTTCGTACACAACCACATGGCCATATTCATTATATCTTACTGCCTTAAAAATGTTAGAGTATTTTCCCCAATGGATAACGAATTTATTAAGGGAGGTAACTATGATATCCTGGATGACTTCTCACTCAAAATTATCTGAGCCAACGTACTTTTGAACACATGTAGCCTTAATTGAATTGTTTAAGCGTATGTAAAAGTACATAGTTTATGATATAAGGTACAATGATATCACATAGCAAATCTTTAACATTTATGTGACAGGTGTTTACTAAATTTATGAATACTAGTATTTAATATCAGACATAAAATATCTACTGATAACTGCTACATGTACACGCTATGCTATCGTTGGTGTTTATTTAAAGCAACTTGTCCCTACACTGACTTGAAAATTTCAAAAGATTTTTAATTGCTTTAAAATGGAAAAATCCAAACCAAGGAAAACATGTGATCTCTTGATTCTGGCAATACAGTGCTACTGAATTGCTTTCCTTTTTGGAAAATTCATTTATTAAATGTTTTTAAATTGTATTCACATTTGAAAGCATTATTTTTTTTCTTGTCTAATAAATTGATAATTCTCTCGTGAAGGATAGTGTTCGTGTTCGAGAAATTTTATAGGCTGAGCAGATATGGTTTGCTAGTCAAAAACAGCCTTTGATAAAATAATTAAGACAGGCTTGACTGTATCTATAAATACATTTATTGTATATTCGCATGGCTATAATACAAACGTATTTGGATACTATATCACTATTGCTGACTGATTACGGTCTATTTGATAAAAACTGTTTACATGTATTAACATTGTCACATTTCAATGTTCAAGGTGAAACCACAAGACTAATACGATAAAATGATATGAGCCGCGTCATTCCCCATTTGTAATAGAGTTGGTAAGCGAACAGCATGGACCCTGATCAGACTGCTCGGATGCGCAGGCTGGTCTGGATCCATGCTGGTCGCAAACCGATAAGGTTGGTTTTGTCGTGACGCGGCTCATTTAATTCATGAATAATCGCTTCTTAATTTAAAGCGGCATGCCTCTAGATTAATGCTAATTTTCATGAAAACTTTGAAAATGTATTTATAAGTAAAATATTGTGAAGTGAACAAAGAAAGTAATTTACACATTGCAATCAACACTTATAATCGATGTAAATTACTAAAAAAGAGGTCAAATTATGCAAAAATAGCCCTTACTGCGTTAGTCACGCAGTAGAAATATGGTGCAAAATCAGTCGTTTTTCGCACATGACATGCATATTTTACTGAATCATATTACTTTTTTTTTTAATCTTAGTGCGTCTTTTCTTGAAATATATTTTTGCAAATCTGGAGGCATGTAGATTTTAAGTAAACAGTGTATGTTGAACAAGATAAGATCAAACCTTATTTTTTAGATTTTTTTTACCGGCATACTTCGGTAACGAATAATCGGTAATAAGCGAAATGTTCCGCATAAGACAGACCTACTTCCTGATGCCCCATTCTCTACTGACGTTTATCAGAAATGGCTGAAAAATGGCAGTATTTTTTAATTTCACATTTAATATGGTTACTGAATTCAATCTAATCTGAATCCCGTATTCAAGTTTATTTCAGTTTGAAACTGTTCGTAACTGATTCAGTAAAAGTATTTGTTCTGCAAGATAACAAACAGTGATTTACTACACATAAATCTGCAGAGAATTAAGTATACTAAAGAAGTTATTTAAAATTTTAGACGTGTATTTTTTTTAAAAAAGAAAATTGCCTTTTTAGTAAAGCGATATGGTGGATATTTGTAACGAACTTGATTAAGTAAAAACCTTAAGCCGGATCTTTATCATCATTATTTTTTTTATTATTATTTAACAGAACTGCACTTATGATGAAACAATGTGATTTAATAACTTGTTTGGTTTAATTTATTTGAAATAAAGAGCCAACATCCATACCGATTTGGTTGCATTTAAGATTAAAATTCATTTCTTTTCATCAAGAAAACAAAACACGAGAAGAAAACACAACCTGTTTCTTATATTAAAACCCGACGAATTAGATATATTATATTTTCGTTTAATGTGAAGCTTCTAGTTTTCTTCTTCTTCTTTTCTTTTTACAATATTAAATTTCCCCAATGACACACTTTTTGTCCTATTTTTATAATTGAAACTTTTCCAATTGATATATTTTCTTACTATATGATCCCAAATTTCACAACTGACACATATTGTTCTTAACGTGTATTAACGATACTAAATTTTCCAACTGACAAATATTTTCCCTCTTTTTAACAATAGTTGGTGATAGTCTAAAAATGAGAAAAAAAATCCCTCATTTTGTGTCTGTGGTTGTAAAAACTATAACATTTTAAACACATTTATATATATATAATTCATGTGTGAAAAAAGCTTGAAGGTTATTTTAACCGCTTTTGGTGTCCTCCCTGGCAAGTTCTAATCAAAATAATATGACAAAACAAAGTCGTGAATCGAAAAGTGCTCGAACCCACAAAGCCTGGGTTGAGAGGTTGACGCTGCAAGACCACCTCTCCCCTGACACACGTAGCAGAGTTTCAAAGATCTTTCTATATAAACCTTTTCAGTGTTTTGTTTCAAGCAATTTCAAATTTTAAGCCTTTTTCATCATATTCAGGTCAAGGCCATGCCATCACTTACAATACGTTTGTAATAAATCAATCGGAAAACCTCGGCTATTATCAATCCGAAGTTTGACGGAAAGGACCGAGAAGATGCGATTGGTAAATAAGAAGTCTGGCCAGGTTAAAGGTTAATAAAGTACACGTGACTAACTGATAGTAACTGCTGAGTCTGACTGTATTTATTATATAAAATACATGTTAAAGTAAACCGAAATGTAAATAAAGATTATATAAAAGTATCTAAAATAAGCTATCCACGGGGTGCTCAAAAATCCGAATGAATGAGACATTCCAAAAAAAAGTTCCGCTCCAGCAAGGACGGAAAATACTTCAATAACACTTTATAGAATGTTTGCATTATAATGAGTGATTTGATATCTTCCTGCTTGATTTAAGTTACCACATAAAAAAACACTGCATTATCGAAAGAGAACTTAATAAGGTATACATAAGGATACTAATAGACCTGGGCTAAAGACCACCTCTGTATAAAAATAACCCTTCAAATAAAAGCCACTTTTTGAAAACCTTTCATTGATAAGATGGAATCAAATAACCTCCAAATAAAGACCACTTGTCTGTAAAGACAATTATTTGTCTCTCCCTTTTGCGGTCTTTGTTCAAAAGTTTAACTGTAATTGTGTGTTTCATAATAGTCGTGCAACAATCTGTGTTCTTTCTTACATGTGAAATTCCGTAGGGTTAGCATGAATTGTAGACATTTAACAAACATATCAAAGGAACTCCACTGAGGTCCAAAAGCCTAAAAATTTGAATTTCTTATTTAGCTGTGGTACATAAAACATGAAGATATAAATTGAAATTTGTATTTTTGTGCTTTTTTTAGCCTGATTTGAGTGAAAAGCGTTGCAACGTTTTTCAATTTTGGGGTCATTTTTTCGCAGTTAAATAATAATTTCTGGAAAAAAGTGAACAAAATGATTCTAAATTGTCCAAATTTGTTCTTTCAAAATTGGTACAGAAATTTTTCCTTTTCGAAAAAAATCGCCAATCCCCAATTTTCAATAATTTCAGTTGGATTTTTTTCATATACAGATTTTTCGCTTTTATGAAAATTCGTTTCCCAAGACTGGATTTTTCTTTCCATTGAAAATTTTCTGTTTTATAAATGGCTGCTTTTCCTTTTGATTGGGATTTTCTGCTTTTCCTATATCGTACATAATTTTTTTTTTCAAACATAACTCAGTTTCACAGTGATTATCCTATTAAGGTTATAATATAAATAATGTCACATATAAAATTATCAAAATATAAATTTTAATATTGAAAAAAAAAAACATCTTCTCACAGAAAGTTTAAAACATTATAAAATTTAAAAAGTGTAGATGCATATAAAAACAAAAAAAATCATCACCTGCGCCATCTTTATATCCGAAGTCGGAAGGAAATACTTTGACGACAAAAACTACACTACTGTTCCTATTTAATGATCATCAGCGTGACTGATATAGAAGCTACTTTTATTTCACAATATTGTGTAATACCAACTGCGGTACATAAAATACCGTATTTATCATAAAAGTGCGCCTCTCCAGCTGTGTTTCATAGAAAGTCCTAAGTGCGTCCTAAGTTCTAGGACATAGAACGAATTTTGAGACAAAAATTTTCTAACTATTTCAATAAACATTTTATCTCAGTCAAATGCTGCCGACTAAAGAGAAATTCATTATCCTGAGATGAGTTAAGAAATACAATGACAGACCTTTTTATTTGCAATGTGTAAATGCCCATCAGCATTGCGATTCAGAAATTAAGAGCCATAACATATGTAGGAGTCATAGTTTAGGGCATTTTCTTTGAAACGCAAAAAAATGTCTCAGTTTTGGTCTTAAGACTAATTTCAGACTAAGGATTTCTTTGAAACGCAGCCCAGGTGCCATTTCGTACATTATTTCAGGCACTTACCTTAGATAACCTAAGATAAACCACCGACGTTCCGTAAGCTAGATGGATAGCTTCCTCGAATGAAGTAATCAAAAGAAATCCCTATCAGGATTCGAACCCAAAGCGGTGAGGTGCAAGTTGTTTGGAGTCAATGACCTTGACCACTCAGCCATGGACGCTCCTCCATTCTTATAAGATACTTCATTTGTTTGCAGTGTGATTATTTCATTACAGGGTTGTTAGTCTATTTACAGGAAAATCGGTGATGTTTTGAGGGAGATCAATTATTATAGGTTATCTTACATTTTACTGTACAATAAGGGAATAAATTTGGACGAGTACACAGCTTGAAAAGTCATATTGTACGAGCCGATATATACTTGTCGCCACTTGCAAAAAAGCCTTTCATAGATTTCAGAAAGGACACATAAGCTGAACTTACTTAGCTTTTGGAAATGACAAAGCAGCCTTCCTTACTTATATTTGAGAAAGGGAAAAAAGCATACTTTATTTAGATTTCGGGAAGTGCAAAAGGCTTACCACACATAGATTTCAGTTTACTTTACTTAGATTTGGCGAAGAAAAAAAACCTTATGTTACTTAGATTTAATAATGGACAAAATAGCTTTCCTTTCTAAGGGTTCAGGAAGAGAAATAAAGGTTCTCTTTACTTAGATTTCGGGATGTGCGAAAAGCGTACCTTACTTAGATTTAGGAAATGACAAAAATGCTTACCTTTTTAGATTTCGGAAATGACAAAGAAAAGCTTCCTTACATAGATGATGGAAAGAGCCAAAAAAGCTTACTTTACTTGGATTTCGTGAAGTGCAAAAAGCTTACCTTTCCTATGTTTCGGAAAGGGGTGAATTCACAAGCTCTTATGGCGTTATTTACAAGCTACATATCTTGGTTTTGATATCCATTTATTTAGCACTCGACGAATGTTATCATTAAATAAATAAATCGATCACTGTTTTTCAAAACTTCCTTATATACATACAGTGACAACATAAGAAGTTTTATTGTACAGACTTAGTAAAAGGCTTAGTAAAAGATCTTGGGGCCACATTTCAAAAAAAGAAGTATAATGATTAAGGTATACTTTATTTATGGATATGTTATCTTGCATTTTTTTCTTCAGTCAACATTCATATACGTCAAAGTAAACTACTTTACTTAAAAAGTGATTAATGTTTCTACGGACGAAATTCACTACTGCATAAAAACTTTTAACCAAACTGTACTTTTGTACTTTTGAATTTTTATCATCATTTCATTTATTTCTTTTTCATTTATCTTTTTTTTCTTTCTTTTTTATTATATTATTATTGTCATATTTGGAGAGACGTTGATGAAAACGATTATGTTATTTAAGACAATGATCGACATTAAGAAGGAATCATGTTATTTAATGTTTTAAGGAGGCTTAGCTATGATTTCAAAAGCATCCAGTTTTAACGAAAATCGACGGACTTCATTCTTTCAATTTAGGTAATTTTGTTACCTTTAGAACAAAAACACAGTCAAATATTCTACCATTTACAAATTAATACTTTTAAACAATCGTATAAATTGACCACGTATCTTGATTCTACCTGAAACTCTGTCCGTTAATTAATTTATTATCTTTTTAGATGTGTCTCAGTATGGGCCAATTTAGTTTGTATATAAAGTTTTTTTTTCAAAGAGTTTATTATTTTATGGATGTAATGCAATAATCAAAGTTGACACTTACGTTTTCTTAGTAACGAAGAAAACATACGAAGTTTCGCCTTGCATTACTTTGCCACGAGTGGGCACCAGTCTAAGTACGGTTGGATACCCGCTTTAGTGACGAGTTGGCACAAGTGGGTACCTACCTTTCACACGAGGGGACACCATCTTTAGTCATAAGAACGCACATGGGTAGCAGTCATACTCACGAATGGGCACCTGCGTTACTCACGAGTGGTCACCTACCTTAATACGGATGGACACTTGCCTTAGCAACGATAGGCACTTGCATTAGTCTCAATCGGGCACCAAATTTAGTCACAAGTGAGCGCCTGCCTAACTCACAAGTAGGCACGCGTTTAAGTGACTACTGGGCACAATCATGTCAGAAGTGGGTACCCGCCTTTCACGCAAGTGGCAACCTGCATTACACACGAGTATACACTTGTCTTAGTCACATGTTCAATCACCAGACTTAGTCACGAGTGGGCACCCGCTTTAGTCATAAATGGACATCTGCATTAATCTCCAGTAGGTACCTACCTAAGTCACAAATGAGCACAAGCCTAAGTCATGAGTGGGCATTTGCCTGAGTCACGAGTGAGTATGAGCCTTTGTCACAAATGTGCAACATCCTTAAACACGAGTGGGCACCTACGTTAAATCATTGACTTTCTCCCAAACACTTTAAAGGCTTTCAAAAAAAAAAATTGAACACAAAATCGGCAAAGAGTCGCCACCATAAAATACCTGCGCATTGCAGACACTCCTGCTTAAGGTTTGAACTGGGCGCACTTATTTGAATATAACGGTGTTGTATGTCCATATCAGGTTGGGTTCAAATAAAACGAATGTAATAACTGTCGTAAGTGGTTCTTACATTTAATCGAGTTACAACCGTTTAACATCAAACAGTCTATGTGATATTGTTATCAAACAGTTATCAAAATCTATAATTTAATGTCGTAAAATTAGGCTATCATCGGCGGAGGCTGATAAAGCATTGGGCGGCACAACGACACTTCAGTTTGCTGGGATGAACAACGATGACCAAAGTGTAAAATGTCTTGATAATGAAACAGATTGTCTTGTCCAATATCATCGCAAACGTGAATCAGCGTTTGATATAAGCATAAAAATGTTTTAATTAGTCGACAATTGTAATGTTTCGATAAACAGATTATAATTTATTATCTAATTTAGCAGACAAAAATATTGTTAGCAGACGATAGTCCATGTTTTAACGAGATGTTAATAATTCATATTTTAATGAGCTAACAATTATTCTTATTATATTAAGCAGACAATAAATTTTGTTTTAATGAACAGACAATGATAATTCATGTTATATTCTGCAAACAATAATCCATTCGTGTTGAAATAAAAAGACAATAATTCTGTTATAATTAGCAGATAGAAATTTGTGTTGTTATGACAATATAATAATCCCGAGCAGAGAATAATTCGTGTTTTAATGAGCAGACAATATAATTCGTGTTTTAATGAGCAGAGATTCATTCGTGTTTTAATTTTAACCAGTATCTAGATAATTGGATTGAATCTTTACATGGGTTATATAGCTTGCATGGGTCTGGAAGTAATAAATTGAGAACATACAGAAATTTCAAATTTGATTTTGAAACTGAGAACTATATCAAAGTACTGCTTTCATATAAGCATAGATCAGCACTTGCAAAATGTCGGTGTGGAGTCGCTCCAATTAGACTAGAAACTGGTCGCTATGAAAGACTAGCAGTCAATGATAGAATATGTCCATTGTGTAATACAGAAGTAGAAAATGAAATTCATGTTCTTTTGAAATGTCCACAATATGTAGATATCAGACAAAATTTGTTAGACAAAGCAATGTATATTGATAATGGGTTTCCTATGTTAAATGATGTTAGCAAGCTTAATTTTTTACTTTCCAATGGTAGTATTGTTAGAGAAGTTGCAAAATCCTGTTACCTTATTTTAGAAAAACGTGCAAAATGCTTGTATTATGATTAGGTCTTTTTATATATATAGTTTTATATGGTTTTAAGAATTTTTTTTATTAATGAAAATTGTCTCAAAAAAAAAGACCTTTTAGTGATATCGCTTTTTTTAAAGAATTTAAGATCTAAGATGTTTTTTAAAGATATTTTAAAGTGTAAAGAATTAAACATCTTAGCTGTTTTAAAGTATTGTAACAAATTAAAGTTCTTATCTAATAGTTAAGTAATATTATCAGTCAAACAACTACTCAGATATGTATTTTATTTGATCTTACTGGACTGCTTATATATGACTATGTAAAATACCTATCTGTGTAAAGTTTAATCTGATCTAACCTTGTAAATGTGGATTGTATTTTATGATACTTGTAACATGTTTGTAACAACATACATATAGTCTCTTATAATTCTTTATAAGAATGACCATTTACATGTATTTTAAGTTTTATTGAATGTGTATTTGTATTATAAGTACATGTAATGGATGAGACTTAAATAAACTAATAAATAATAATTTAATGAGCAGAAATAATTCATGGTGTAATTAGCAGACACTAATTCATGTGTTAATGAGTAGCAATAATTCGTGTTTTAATGAGCAGAGAATAATCCATGTTTCAATAAGCAGACAATAATTCGTGTTTTAATGAGCAGAAATAATTCATGGTGTAATTAGCAGACAATAATTCATGTTTTAAACGAGCAGACAATAATTCGTGTTTTAATGAGCAGAGAATAATCCATGTTTCAATGAGCAGACACTAATTCGTGTTTAAATGAGCAGACAATGATAGTACGTGTTTTATTGAGCTTCTTGTTGTAATATGAAGACAATAATTATGTTATAATTAACAGACAGAAATTTGTGTTGTTATAACAAAAATGTGATACAAGTTTTAATGAGCAGATAATGATTCGT